TAGAGTAAAACATACAATATATTTTTGGTACTCTTGTAAGATCTAGCCACCTCAATACCCAATAAATAGTTATTGAACTTGTCAATACAAAATTCCGAAACAACCTGATTGCGATATCTATATTAAAAGAAAACAAAGATAATAATATTGAAAGAAAACAAATTCATACCATCGTGCCTTGTCAATAGCCTCGACCACAATTAAAGAGTACCTAAAGTTCTCAAGAACAGAGCAATCGACAATCACAAGCTTGGGTTGTATATTAAAATAACAAAGATAAAACATTAAAACACATGTAAACACCGCATGCATTATAGGACAACAATAGCCAGAGACCAACCTATGTTGACTAATTGTTGACTAACTGTGAGGGTCAATGAGAGATCAATAAAAGAGAAGATTATCAATGTTTTCTAGACAAATGAGGATCAATAAGAATATGAAAGAAAAGATGATCCATTGAGATTCAATAAGAATAAATAATGAATTAAACATATAATATGTAAGCTCAACAAATGGTTGTTTCAGTACTTAAATACAATCTTGTGGTGTGGTGGAATTCCAATGAAAGATACATAAGTCAAACAATTCTATTTTTCTTCTTATTTTTGCTCAACTAAAATAAGATGTAATATTAAGTCTATGGAACATGACATATATAAGAGACATTACTGAATATATCTAGTAGGGAAAATAGATTGATTAATTACAAAACCATGAAACACATCATAAATCATAAGAACCATAGATTGATTGTCAAACAATAGTAAAATGTTTTCTGTAGAAGTAAAAATAGATAACAATAGTCAACAAAAACAATTAGAACAACATAACCAAATAGCAATAGTCAATAGAAGCAGAAATAGATGAAAATATCCAACAAAAATACGAAAACAGTCAAGCATATAGAGATAGCAATAGCCAATGTCATTGGACCTTGCTGGAGATAAAAGAATTAGATAGGCAATAAACAATAACATATAATGAATGACTAATTAATTTTTTTTATTTCTTCTCCAATGTAATTAGTTGATATATTTTTGGGCTCTTATTATCTACTAAATTTTTTCTTGCCTCTTATTATATGCTAGATTTTTTATGGTTTCTTTAATTTATTTAAAAAGTTTAGACTACTTATATATGTTAAGGGAAAAATTTGGGCCCCTGATATTTTTGGGCCTTGGCCCATGCCGCCCTTCGCTGTGTTTAGGTCAAACATGGAGAGGGGGGGGGGGGTTTGGGAGAGCGTAAGAAATGATAAAGGAGCTTGACCATTTAAGTCGATGGAAGCCTGAAGTTATGAGTTATGACCCGTTGTAAGAACCACAACCCTCCAAACGGTGGGGTACATTGTAATGAATTAGCATGGTGTTTCCAACCTCAAATGAATGTCAATTTTTGCATTTAATAAAGCTATTTTGTAAGGTTAGTAAGCTTTTACCATGCATGACTTGGTAAAGGATGAGTCATGAGACATTCATTTGCATCATCCTTTTGGAGTATCTTATAAATGTATGTAACTAATTTTACACCATAAAGACAAGAGTTGATAAAATTTAAAGACAATTTAAACAATTTATTTTAACAAATAAACATATGTTCCCCTAGAACAATCATTTGAAAAAGCAGAAATATTTGAAACCATTGGGTGCTTATTAAAGGAACTCCACATGCTGGGATGAACCGATTCAAAATTTTAGAAATTTAGGCTTAAACTTTTAGATTGATTGATACATGTGTTAACTCAACTAACATGATTCAAGATAAAGTAGACAAATTCAATCCCCTTTTTTCTAGCGCTTTAAAGAAGGATTACCCAATTGGTTGTTTATATGCATATTTTTCTTACGACGGAATTTAGTAGAAGAAGATTTATTTAGAGGATACAGACCATGAATCACCTAACAAAAAGGATATTGCTGAATACATACCGATGTTTATCATTGGTTGTGTACTTCCATTGGTTTGGGTGGGTGCTGCTCTTACAATGCTGAATAAATTATTGTCTTCTGATTGCTAAAACCTCAAAGTTGTTGTCCTCCCTTTTTCTTTGCTGATCTTTTCTTATTCAAGACAAATCTACAATAAGACGAGAAGCAGTTGTAGTTGACTCACAAACATGGAGCACAAATGATTCCTTGGATGATGAAATTCAATGTTGACTTGTCTATTATCGCCTCCTTGATGCATTGAAAGTACTTGGGAACATGACTGCGCCATGACGGCCCAAAGTGATGAGTAACCTAAAAGTTTGAAGAGAAGGCCCTTTTATTTGGGAAATGGCAAGGTTGTTGTGGTCGAAAATCAAAAGATAATGTGAAGATCAGGCAAAGTACAAGTATCCCTTAAAGGAGGGTAGTGACATCATGTTGGATGTTAGGGTTTTATTTGAAGTTCTACTTTTTATGGCTGGTTTATCTCTCTGCTATCATGAGAAATACAAGTGACTAAAAGGGTACTTGGTTATGAGAGGAAAAAGTGTGTGGCTTTTGGATGGATGGATGCACTAAAACCGAGGATATGTGGCTGTGTTGTATATATATGTGTTTGTATACATATATGCAGGTCATGAATGAATTCAAAGAAAGAAGCCATCATCATAACTCAAACACTAAGGTTGTGTTTTTTTTTCTTTCTAAATCAGATCTGAAGCAACACTTATGCATTCAGATTGTTTGTTGTGTTTTTACTTTCAGATTTGAATAAAGTAAAGTACGTCGGAACGATCTTGCAAAAGAAGTCTTAACAAGAAAAATCATATATGAATATCAAACGGTGTCCATCGCCTCTTTCCCGATCTTCGGATCACCACTCTTTGATTGCTCTGTCTTGCCATTGCTTTTCTCCCATCATCATGACATCACCGATGCCCGATTGCTCTGCACCTGGATTTGGCTTTACTCACATTTTGTGTTTCTCCTTGTTTTCCCTCTTGAGAAGGAGAGAATTTAGATTGAGAATTGATGTTAGAGAGAGAGAGAAGGGGGGGGGGAGTTGGACAAGAGAGGGAGAGAAATATGAGGGCGGTTGATTTTTCGTTTCTTTTTTTATTTAGATTTTACTTTGTAATTTAAAAAATATTTACATTGAAAAATTTAAAAGTTCATATTTTACAAGGGCAAAGTGGACAAATACATGCATTCAGATGATTTCATTCAATTTTTCAACAGTGTGGATTCAGACTTCATGTGCTATCTCTTAATTTCAAATATGAAGTGAACATTCAGCCATCACCACTTAATGAAAACAAACAACCCCTATGTATAAGATGAACAATACACTTGAGCTTAAGTTTGATCGTGCTTTACTTTAGTGTGGATATTGTTAGTCCATGCTATTGAGGAAAAAGAATTTGACATGTTGCCTAGCTCGCTTCTTTCTCACAGCCATTAGTCTCTAGTTTTACTTCAAACTTTATCTTTGGTTCCCTATTATATTAATCATGAACTTTCATCTCTTACCATTTCAGAAAACAAGATTTCGTAAAAGTGAAGAAACTATACTAGATGTATCTTTGGACAATCGGTAGCATAGTGTTTGTGTTGTTTAAGGCGTTTGCAAGTATTTCTCAAAGCATCCTTTGTAATTGCAACCTGTGAACTTAATGAACATCATATAGGTTGGCGCTGAAGAATATTGGGGTATGATTACGTATCCAGAAAACCATTGGAGTTTAGTACCCGACAGGTACCTTTACATCAACCTCTGATTAGTGTCCAAAGGTTTTGTAGTGCTCAAATATGTTTAAAAGGAGGATATGGAGACTCCCAATGTGTTTGTGACCAATTATGGTCGAGGATGTAGAAATTTTGAAGTTGGCCTTGAGGCTTGAGCCATTCTTGTAAGGCTGTGCATTGAATTCATTTTTTCAGTATACATCAATTAGAGGCAGAAATGGAAAAAAGATAGTGTCAGGCTTTCTCATTGTCTCCAAATGTATTGTATAACAAATTACAAGAAGTGGGAGAAGGATTAGTCTCTTTTCTGTACATTATCTGCAAAGTCACATCCAACACACAATAAAGGTAACATACCAAAGTACCAGGAGGTTCCAGGTTCAAATCCAAGGAGGAATAAAAATCTCCTTGTGGCCATGGAGGTTCAAATGCGGTGACTCCGGGCTATCTGCAAAGCAGGTGGTCGCCCTGGAATTAGTCGGCTCGCATAACGGGTTGGATATCCAGGTTAATTAAAAACAAAGGTAACATACCATATGAAAGGGCCTTTGGCCTAGCGGTGTTGGAGCCTTTTGGCCTCTTAGTAGGTCAGGGTTCAAACCTCACCAAAGGTGAGGAGGATGTGAAAGTTGATTTGTTACATTTTCCGTATATAAATATCGTATACTTCAAAAAAGAAAAGGTAATATACCATACTAGAATCTTTATTTGTTTGACTCTAGTTTTAGCCGTTGGATCATTTGAGGCATTTTCCCCACAAAATTAGATACTGAAATGGAATGGCAACTCTCTGCGATACCATGATACCTCTATATTCTTGGTTGTGAGATACAAATTGAGGGATAATCTTGTTTCTATTTTGTAATTTTGGTTAGGCATGTCTTCTTTTTTCCTTTCATTCTTGGGCCTGTCATTTGTCATACATTTATAATCATGCCTTTGCAATAATGATAGTGCTCTATCTGGTGATTGGGTTAGCTCTTTGAATTTGAGATGAAGTTATTTTTATTTTCATAAGCTCAGCTTATGCACTTCAGACTCCTCTTATTGATGTTGATTAGAGTGTTTGAGCATGGATGGTGGTTTAGAGTGATTTATTCTTAATTTTTGCAATAATCAGATTTTACATTTCTATTTTAACCCTTTAGTATTAGCTTCTAAACGTTTAAGGTATTTTTGGTATTGAGATATTATGATTAGGTTAATGACTTGATCTAGAGCTTAGTTTGCTGTCACATCTTCCAATTAATAAGTTTATCATGCAAAACATCTTGTTAGTTCTATATTCTTATCACAATGCTTATGGATCCTTTGCCTTTGCAGTTGAAGATATGTGTAGTCGATATCCAAACGCCACTCAAGTGAACATTAAAGGCTCTCCCGCAATTCATACACTTGTTATGCAAGCTCTTTCTTCATTGAGGCAATGATCTATTTCTTCCTTTTAATATCTCTTCATTCAATTATGTCTTGATTGATAATGGATTTGTCTCTTTTCAGGAATCTTGAGTTCTTAACTCTGGGCAAAGGACAGCTCGGGGAGACCTTCTTCCAAGCTTTACCTGATTGCACGATGTTAAAGAGCTTAATTGTGACTGATGCCGTTCTTGGTAATGGTATTCAGGAGGTACCAATATACCATGATAGGTTAAGGCACCTTCAAATTGTGAAATGCCGCATGGTCCGTATTTCGGTCAGGTGATGCTTTATTTATTTAACATGTCACAACTGTTCTAAATAGCTGCATTATTACGTTGTTTTAAAGAAGCAATATATTATTGTTTGCAGGTGTCCCGAACTTCAGACTCTGTCCCTGAAGCGAAGTGGCATGGCTCATGCTGTACTGAATTGCCCTCTTTTACATGATCTTGATATAGCATCTTGCCATAAGCTTCTAGATGCTGCAGTTTGCTCTGCAGCGACTTCATGTCCGCTCTTAGAGTCCTTAGACATGTCAAACTGTTCATGTGTTAGTGACGAAACTTTACGTGAAATAGCACTAATTTGTGGCAATCTTCATATCCTGAATGCATCTTACTGCCCAAATATCTCTCTTGAGGTAGTTTTCATGAGTTTGCTTTATTAAGATAATTTCATTTACATGATCATAATCCTTGTTTATTGGGTTTTGTAGTCTGTAAGGTTGCCAATATTGACTGTTCTCAAGCTTCATAGCTGTGAAGGCATAACCTCTGCTTCTATGGCTGCAATAGCTTATAGCTATATGTTGGAGGTGTGGACCTGCTTTCTTCTTTCTCAATATTGACTGCCAGCTTTCCTTTGTATGGTCTTTATTCAGCTTTTTGTCATTCCTTGCTACAGGTTTTGGAGCTTGATAATTGCAGCTTATTGACATCAGTCTTCTTGGATCTTCCTCACCTGCAGAATATCAGACTTGTACACTGTCGCAAGTACAGTACTATACATCAGACCATCATTTATGACGGGAATTATTTCTAATTTGGTTTTTGACATTGTAGAATCAATAATTTCCGATACTGACTTGGTTGCAGATTTGTGGACTTAAGTTTAAGAAGCATGCTATTATCTTCCATTAGAATCTCTAATTGTCCTTCACTCCAGAGAATCAACATAACATCAAATTCACTTCAAGTATGTCATAATCGTCTCAGTTCTTTGAGTTCCAATCTTTTTCATGCGCTTCTATTCTGGGTATATGAATTCCTGACATTTTGTCTATGCAGCAACTAGTTCTGCAGAAACAGGAAAGCTTAACTGCGTTAGAGCTGCAATGCAAGTGTTTACAAGAAGTGGACCTCACAGATTGTGAATCTCTGACAAATTCCATCTTTGAAGTTTTTAGTGATGGCGGTGGATGCCCCATGCTTAAATCATTAGTTCTTGATAATTGTGAGGTCCGTGATTTTCTTTTGATGCTTATGCTGATTTATTGTTGATCTTAACTGTTTAATTGTTATAAATCATGTGGATTTACAAATATTATTATTATATAGCAGTTTTATCTTGTGGAGTTTTTAGGTGATGGTGATGGTTGCTGTATGATTAAATCATTAGTAATTGATAGCTGGCAGGTTTATGATTTAACTCTGATGCTTCTGCTGACATTGTGTATCTTAACTTCTTAATTAAAATTCGCATGTCAAACCATGGTGTATGCTCACTGCTGATGACATTGTGTTAATTGTGAGGCTTGTTCTGATGTTGAACTGAATCTAGAGCTATGGACAAAATCTTGGAATGTAAAGGTTTTAGATAAAGCCATGCTATGAAGTAGATTATGGTGCAACTTCACTGGCATTGATATGGAAATAGAAGATGCTACAGATTTAGGTGATCTTGCAATCTCATAGAAGTTGAATGGTAAGTGTCACTGGAAAGTGGACTTTCTATAGGGTACAACCTTGGGCCTCCAAAATCAACATATATGTAGAAACATAGTGTGATGTGGTTTGAAGCATTGTCATAAGAAGAGAGATTTGTTTTCCCACCCCGGTGTGGCGGTGGTGGCGGGGTTGTGTTTGTGCTGTAGAGGGATTTGATCATGCCCAAGAGAGACTGAATGGTGTTGAAGGATGCTGTTCATTTGTATCGTCATTGGAGGGGTTATATTTCCCAATTGGTTTCATTCTTGGTATATACCTTTGGATAAGTGCTGGTGGTTGTTTTTGCAGCAGTTATTGTATGTGGTATCTACCATCAATGTAAGAAAAACTTTTCTTAGTATCACCTAGGCATTCTCCCATCACTTTGATTAGTTAGGGCCTCTTAATTGGCTGCCTGGGAGATAAAAGTCCCCCACCTTTTTTATTGCAACTAATAATTGAATCCAGCTTCTAAACAATTAAGCATGGATTAATGGACTTCTTCCAACTTGTATTCATCAATCAGCTATTCTCTAATTGGAGATAATCCTTCCTGGCTTTCCTAGTAATGAAACAATAAAACTAGTCATTTGGAATAATTACTTGTATCAAAGTAATACAATATTAAAATTTGATTCTCATATGTAATATGTTTACACATCTAAAATAACAAGATTTTATATATTTAAATCAGTGTTCTGAGAATTGCATTTTATATGTGTAGGTGGTTAATAAAACGTCTAAAAGATTTAAGGGGCACTTGCAGATGCTATTATTAATTGTTACTTATTTATTTATTATTGATTGACTGGTCATCTTGTTATGAATCGAACTTTTTATTTATTTTCAGTTGGCTATTAAATATTACTTATTGGTTCATTTCATCTGTATTGTGCGTCAGTGACTTGTGGCTGTTGATATTATTTTTGGTAATTAATCAAATTAAACGAGAGAAACCATATCCTCATTAAATTATTGTGATAAGCAACACAAACTTACAATATTAGGATTTATGTACAACTAGTTAAAGTATCCATGCAGTGCATGGATATCATTGAAAATCATTTAATGGTAGAGGTTATAAATAAAATTCTAAGTTTGAGTGCTTTGATTACGGCTTTAATGTTGTTCTTTTTTATACTTCTACAATATATAATATGGATAAATATCATGGCAATTGCAACTGAGATGTTAGCAAATTTATTTTCGCATGGTTGTTATTTTTGTTTATGTTTATAAGTTGAGTATGTAATCGAGAATTTTTTTTCTTTCTTCTAAAAATTTGAACATGATGGTTAGTAACGTCCATTATGTTTTGGTTAACCATTTAATTGATGATGCTTCTAGTTATGATTTTAAGGATTTGTAGAGGAATATGATAGTGTCAACTTCAACTATTAAAATGTGTTTATTTAAAAGTTTAGAAATAGAAGACTAAATGACTTTAAGGTCTAAACTTTTTTCAATATGATTTAATAATTGTTGGTTGCAGTTATGTATAATATTTGTCCCTCAACTACCTTAGCAACCCATGTCATCTCAATGTCGACTCATTAGCAGCTCAGGACCATCATATCAAGTTACAATATATATATATATATATATATATAATAGTAAATGGAATGTATATTTAAGTAAGTACCGAGACATATTACATGCTGCATCTAGTCCAGTCATCATTTTCCCATTAATAGGTGGACGAACTATTACTGTGATGGCTAGATTATCAACGAAATCTACACACGTTGACAAAATCATTAAAAGTAAAGCCACAGTGACCAACGGTGGGTAAATCAGAAAGATTATATATGTTATTTTCTAGATATAGGCTCGTTAAGTTTGCGATTTCTTAAAATATTCGAGTCAAATATGCTGTTTTCTTATTCTTAGTTCGTAAAGTATTTGTTTTGTAGCTTTGGTGACAATTCGCCTACTACTTGTAGTCTTGGCAAGCAGGGATACAATATTTCCTTTCATTCCAAAATTTCAGCATCTTTTTGGAAGTTGTCTAATATTTTTTAATGCCGTTTGTGTAATCTCTTTTTTTAGTTGTTAATCTTTTAGTTAGGTCTCAACTTGCTTTATTTTTATGCATGTGCACTAGTTGCAGGTTCAGCATGGGTATTTGTCACATATATCTTGGGTCATTTTCTTTTTATGCTGTTGTGACTTTATCCTTGCTGGTGCTGCCTATTATGATAGATGAAACAAGAACTTTCAGTTAGACTTATTATGTCATTTATACCTTTGTTTATCTTCTATTTTCATGAAAAAGGGGACTCAGGCAAGTGCGTTTACAAGCACATAAAAAAGAACATATTTGTTTATCCACTTCATGTTTACCGTAACTAGTCATTATAATTTTATACTAGCAGCTTTAACTATAATCTCGAATACTGTTCTTTGGGCTGAGCAAGATACAATTATTTGAAATTAATTGCATCTAAAAAAATGTTGTGAAATTCTGTGCATCTTTAGTTACGTGTCAATTGGAAATTTCCTTGGTAATTCGAATTTAAATTCTAGTATACAGAGTGCCTCTTTCTCTCCTTTCATATAAATTAAAAGGGTTGAACTCTTTCAAAAGTGTCATCTACTTTTGCATGTACATCTTGAGCCCTTCTTGATGACAGCTTGTTTATTAGGTGAGGCTGTGTTGTAGTTCCACATTCTCAAAGGTCATCGATCTTGCATATACATCTATCCCTCCTTGATGACCTATGGTTTTGTGTTAGCAAGTAATTTAGGTGGTATTGTATTTCTTGGTCGATGGTATCGTCGACTCCTCAAACGTTCATTAAGGGAGAAATTCTACTATAGTTTTGCATAATAAGGTGGATGCATCTATCCTCCAGGCATAACCAACTTGAAAGTTGCATTTCTTATTATGGACTGACCAACTGTGGCCTACTGCCCTGTGGTGCAACAGGGTGTCAATTCGATCATCTTTAAATTTAGTTATACTAGCTTTTAGTTGTCTTTTTTTCTGCGACTCGTGATAAAGAGGAATATCTTAGTAGGGGCCAGTTTTTGGTTCTAATTGTAGTGTCTATCTTATGCTCGTCAAAGCTCTCATAAATGCCTCTCCTTTTAATCCCGTGTTTGGTCCATGAAGTCTAATGCGCTTGATTTTGCATATTTGGGTCTGGCAACTGTGCTACTAACAAAAAAGTAGAGATGGGTAGTGATCCAGATATGATTTGCATCAAATCCATTATCCGTGCTACCTTCTACTAGATGGTGGCCTCTCTACCCATCGGGTTAGAAGTAAGGTGTATGTACATCCTACCCTCCTTAGACCCTACTCTGTGTGGGATATATCTACCGAGTTTGTTTGGTTTGGTTTCTTCTACTAGGTGGTGGCATCATGGTTATTTTCCATTCCTATCATTGTCACACTCAGTTTGTTGGTTGCTTATGACCTGATTTTGCACAATTATAGATGATTTTGCATCAACTTGCTAAGTGTGGTTGTATTGTTTATTGGTTCAGGGTTTGACGGCTGTGGTATTCTGTAGCAATTCTTTAACCAGTCTTTCCCTTGGTGGTTGTCGTGCTATTACTGATCTTGAACTCACTTGCCCTTATCTTGAGCAAGTCTCTTTGGATGGATGTGATCATCTTGTAAAAGCAACCTTTTGTCCAGTAAGTGAATAAATCACATATACCTTTTCTATTTTCTAGTTTCATCTTGTGAACTCACTATGCTGCTCATTTCTTGTCCTTTCTAGCATAACTACTACTTTCTTATGGCATCACGTGCTTTCTTTGTGCTGCTTCATTGTTTTTATCAGTAGTTTTACCAACACCTATATGTTTCCTAATCATGTTTTTTGATATATTTTTACAAAACTGAAACCAAGGCATAGAACTGCAAATGGTCTTAAATGGTGCATCGTAGTCTAATGTAAATCTGAGAAAATTGAAAACCATCAAAAATATACCTGAAACAAATGGAGGCGTATTTGTTATAAGTTATAACAATATATAGTTCTTACTCTGTAGTTTTGAACTTATGCCACCGATGGCAGCTATATGTTTCTCTCACCAGTTTGCTTTGCAATCTTATTTTGATTACTTAAACATCATCTTTCTTATGCAATATATGCACCTGTATTCTATTTCTGTATGCCAATAATTTCTTGATTTATTTATCCCTATTCGTAATTTCCACTATTATCTGCTTCATATACATCATATTTTTCACTCTATCCTATTAAATGCATGGCAATCAAATCGATTCGTTTTTTGAAAGAACTGTTCAAGGAAAAAGCAATCCCCTCGCCATCTACCGGTTGATCCTCAGACCTGCCCCCCCTCTTCTTCCATCAACTAAATTGGTTCTTAGATCTTGTTCATGAGATTAAGAAAAAGAATTCTCTATAAATTCTTCTAATTTTTCTGTATACTAAATTACTAATCTTTTTCAATGCATCTAAAGCGTAGCAGTTATGACATGTGGCATATGCATGTGCCTATTGGGAAAAAGGCACATCACATGGCACCTACCAGTTTATATAAATATACAAATATCTAAAAAAATAAGACAAGTCACATTCTGTCTTAGTATGTTCATTTTAGAGTGCCAATATAAAACTAGCTAACCATTCCTGGTTCCAACTAGAAATAACAATGAGTGAAATGATGTACATAATAGTCAATCATACCATTCCAAAAATACCAGTTTTAAGCAGTGCTATGACAATGCCGTGTACCATATCCCAAAATGCTGCAAATGGCACTGACTTTTTTTGTTGGTTGCATCACTACATTTTTCACCATACCTTAATTTCTCCAAACTGTGGCATAGGATCAAGTTGGGTTGCAATGATCATTAGTACCATTCGACTTTGATGCCCATGAAATCTAGTATAAGACAAGCATCAAAATCTACTGTACAATAGACACAAAAAATAGTTGGGAAGTTATAGTGCCTTCTATTTCTGAACGATGAGAACCTGAGAGAGTTAAACCTAAGCAGAGTTAACTTGCATCTTTTGCATTTTTTTTTTGATTAACCTGGATATCCAACCCGCTATGCGAGCCGACTAATCCCAGGGCAACCACCTGCAAATGCTTTGCAGATAGCCCGGAGTCACCGCATTTGAACCTCCGTGGCCACAAGGGGATTTTTATTCCTCCTTGGATTTGAACCTGGGAYCTYCWRGTACTTTTGACCTTTGGAGCCAAGCTCAAACCAATCAGGCACCACCCTTGTGGTTGTCTTTTGCATTTTAGGATTCTGTCAACTAGGTTCTTGACATATCATGTGCTTTTGTTTTCTGCATGCTTGCTAACAAACGTCTGTTGCCGTCAGTCGGTGAAACCCTTTCTTCAGTATGGGCATTGTTTGTCTGATTGAAACTTTTTCTTCTCTTTTTTCCTTTGCCAGGTTGGCCTTCGATCTCTTAATCTCGGAATCTGTCCTAAACTTAATGCACTCAATATTGAAGCGCCAACCATGGTGTTGCTTGAGCTGAAGGGGTGCGGTGTATTATCTCAGGCAGTAATTAATTGCCCCCTATTAAAATCTCTGGACGCTTCATTTTGCAGGTCATGGGAGCCTCACTCTGTATATTGTCAATTACTACTGCTTTCTCCCGACATCTTTGGCTTCAACTTTTAGTTGGTTGTTCTCTAATGTGATGCTAACATTGTGTGTTTAACCTATGCAGCCAACTGAAGGATGACTGCTTATCAACAACTACCTCTTCATGCCCTCTTATTGAGTCATTGATATTGATGTCATGCCCGTCTATTGGTTCTGATGGGCTCTTTTCTTTGCGTTGCCTTCCGCATTTAACTTCACTTGATCTTTCCTACACCTTCTTGCTGGACTTGCAGCCTGTGTTCGATTCCTGTCTGCAGTTGAAGGTAATGGCTATTTCTAGGTCCTTCAAAAATATTGCTATTATTATATATGGCTCTTCCTGTTTCTAAGGCAAGCCTTGAAGTCTCAACATTCTCCAAAATGCAAGGGGAAGGCTGCTTTTACAGGCATCCCTCCCTATCCATAGCCAAATTGAGCTTTGTTTCGTCGGGATCACCCTTCTATGCACTTTTATCTTGTAATTTGGGCTAATTCTACTATATTAAAGGGTACAAAAGTTCCTGGGATTGTAATTTTTTCCCTTCAGTGGCAAGTTGCACCAAGTAATAACATATTTATATTTCATTTTAGGGACCCAATCCATAATTCCATGTAATTATAAGGACCAAACATGCAAGGCACTCTTTAGATACTAAGATTTTTATAATATAATAAACAATAATATGATCTATGAAAATGTGCATATATGACCAAATGAATCCAATGAATCCTACACGGAGTAGTGTCTGTGGAGGGTGGGATTATGCAGACTGTACCTTTACTCTGAGGAGTAGAGATGCTGTTTCCGAGAAGACCCCCAGCTTGTAAAATGGTTTTGAGAAAGGATTTTTCAAGGAAATGTTACCGGAAGTTTGACAAAATTTTGATAGAAAGGAAAGGTATTTGAAATATAAAAGAAAGAGATGAAGTTCAGAATATATATGTAGCCACAAGCACATACATATATACTAGAAAAGTAACCTGTGTAGCGAAACTGCGTTGGAGAGGCTGGCGGTTCCAGCTCCAACGATGACTATTTCTTCCTTCTGGACATTGCATCCATCACAAATGGTTGTTAGAGATGTGGGCTTTGTTCTTTTCAGGATTATATTCGAATTGGTTGGGTTAGCTCCGTACTACTGTTTCTTGATGAAGAGATGGAGAGTGAAGGGATAAGAAAGATGAAGAGAATGTTGCCATAAATGTGTGCTGGTTGAGGTGTTTCAGAGAAGAAAACGTCATCATTGTGTGTATTCCTTGACCACTGAAATTGTGGCGAGAAGTTAACCAGGTGAGGCATTGAGATTTTTCCGGGAAACTCTTGAGCTCGTATTCAAGCCGAGACATTTCTTAGGACTATACTCTATCCGAGCCATTGCGGTCGTTGGAAGATCAAGCCGACGGCCCCGATTTTGATAAATACTTTTGAATGATGCTAGTTGTTTACCCATAAGATACAACAGGATGTAAGATTTTGTTGTAAACCGATAATATAAAGTAGTGAAACTTCTTAACCAAAAAGAAAATCTGAAATATATGTTTGAATAAAATAGAAATTACAAAATGAAGGAGTAGAGTAGAGAGATGATGATGTGTATGGGAGTTCCATCATTTAGAAAATCTGTTTTCTTTGTTTCCCATTATCGGGCTTCCTGAAATCATGAAAATTGATGTTACTTTTTTGTTTATGCCCCAAAAATCCAATGTTTTTGTCTTTCTACTTGTGATTTACTAGTTTGTTTTTTTCATGAAGGTTTTGAAATTGCAAGCATGCAAGTATCTTACCAACTCATCGCTGGAAGCTCTATACAAAGATGGTGCTCTCCCCACTCTTCTTGAGTTGGACTTGTCATATGGGACACTCTGCCAGGATGCCATAGAGGAGCTTCTTGCTTGTTGTACTCATTTAACTCATCTCAGCTTGAATGGATGTGTGAACATGCATGACATGAATTGGAGTTTTACCATGCATGTGCTATCTGAGGATGATCTCCATGTGCCACATCGTTTGCTACAAAATCTGAACTGTGTTGGTTGTCCCAATATCAAGAAAGTAGTCATCCCTCAAATGGCTTGTTTTTCCCATCTGTCATCCTTAAATCTCTCCTTATCTGTAAACTTGAAAGAAGTTGATGTGGCATGTTCTAATTTGTGCCTTCTCAATCTAAGGTATCATGGCTTAGTTTGTGTTATTGCCCCATTTGCAACTAAAGATTTTAATTATGTGCACCATCTCTCAGCAATTGCTGCTCCTTGGAAATTTTGAAGCTGGAGTGTCCAAGATTGACTAGCTTGTTTTTGCAGGTATGCAATTGCTGTTTCTTTTTGTGTTTTCTGTTTTGACTGTTGTGGTCAATGTTATGCTCTCAGTTTGTTATCGATTTTAGAAGAGGATAGAAGGGGTATTTTAGTAATTTTTGGGAATTAACAGGCAGTTGGGTCATACCTAGAATAATCCTATTATGCTCATAGTATAAGCTTGTTTCTTTTTTGTCTAGTCTTGCAACATTTGCATAGAAGAAGTCGAATCTGCCATATCACAATGCAGCATGCTTGAGACGCTGGATGTGCGCTTCTGTCCAAAGGTGAGTCATTGAGCCAAATCATACAAGTATTGTTATTATGAGCTATGCTGTTATATCGGTCAGAATACGAAATATCGGTCAGGACCGATATTCGATATATCGGTTATATCGGTGATATATCGG